CTTTTTCCAAAGCTTCGTGAAGAGTTACGTTTGACATCCTGTTTTCTCTCTCGCCTTCTCGTATCCAAAATTTCTGATAGTTCTTGTCGAATTTGACACACACTTTGGGTTAACTACGTCTACTTGCACCGGGTTTTCCTCAACTGTCTCAAACGCTTCCGTGCTTCGGCACTTGGGAACAAACCGTATGTCATGAGTGTGGAATATTGTCCGTTGATAAAATCTAGAATTTTTGGATTCACGATGTAGTCGAACATTTTTGGAGTTACGATATTCAACTACATCGTGAAGCCAAAAATGCCTCGGTCAGTTTCTTGAGAAAATATTTTTGTGAAGGTGTATTTTCTAGTCTTGGAATCTCCGTCTTTAGCGTTGTGGAGAAAATTTGAACCTTGGGGGATTTTTGAGGTGAATGTATCATCTTCGATTTCGTAGAGGCCTTCGAAGTTGTAGCTATTTGTACTTCGAAGATATACGTTAATGTTTCGAGCCTGAAGAAATAAATAAATGAGATGCACTAGTGTATATATATTTGTTTTAATAACAATTAACCGTGTATTAAATATTAGGCTTTTTTATGTAATAGCCTATATGTTTTTGCAAATTTGACCCTTTAGGAAAAAATTGGTCGAAAGTTGTTCGCCAGTACTTCCCTCGCTCCGGAAATACAATGTAACATATCCAGCATTTTCGAATAGGCGCACTCTCAGAGGCGTCCGTCATAGTTTCTCTGTCACAATGAACTTTTCTACCTGTCCCTGTTTAGATTAGTGGCTAATAGTGACCAGTTTACTTAAGTTTATGTTAAAAATAAATTTAAAAATCACCCCCGCCTGAAGTGTACATGTTATGCTACTGACTGACAGTCCGTTGTCAGATTCAGATGATTCACCACGTTGAACTTAAAATAATTGATCTCTAACAACATTTGTCCTTTAACACTTGGTAATAGCAATCTGGCGCTCGAGTGTTTATTTATGTTTATACATCGAAAGAATGTCACGTAGAAATTGGTTTGATTTGAATGAGTTTGTACTCTCAAAACACAAGACTAAAATTATTAATTATGTTTATCGTATGAACGATGTTTAAACAATAACAATAATAATAATAATCATAAAACACAAGTGTGTGAATATAATATTTTATGCAATTCAGGTTCTATTTATTGAAGAAAATTTTGAAGGGATGTCATCACGTTGTTGGTAGGGATAATTAGAAACATTTTGGTTAGCGTTTTACAATCTGCATGACAACTTTAAAACAGCTTCAAGATTTCAAAGCATTCGGTTTTGCAGTTCCTGAATGTATCAATAAAATAAATTCACGCATTCATTAATTTTTATGAGACACCCCATATAAGCAATTATAAAAAATAATAATGCAGTGACAAATCACAAGTATAGAGTCAGCATACTTTGCACATGTAAGATTAAAATAAGTTCACGCATTCATTAATTTTTTTGAGCCATCCCGTATAAGCAAATCTAAAAAGTATGAATGGCATGATAATTCACAAGTACAGACTCATCACAGGATTTATTCGGCAAACTTTTGAGCTGACGTCATCAATTTTTTGGAGGGGATAAGTAAATATATATATGTATTTTGATTAAAAATTTATCATGCTTGTCATAACTATAAACCATCTTCAAGATTTCAGAGCATTCGGTTTTGCAGATTCAGAATTAAATTCCAAAATGTTATTTTATATATTTTTTTTTCCGAAAATCTGGACGTTTCGGGTAAAAACTCATTTCGGAGTCATAAACTACATGTATATGACTATATTATTTTATACATTTGTAACCCGGTCTAGCCAGACCGGTGTGGGTCCCAACAATATTAGTGTGAGAATAAACAAAATGATTGCTCTTACCTTTTTGATGGCGGCGTCGACACCAGGTCACATAATTCACTGCTGATGTTCACGAACCGTAAAGAGGGGTTGTCAAAAAAAAGGAAGAAAACTACAGAGTAGTTTCGACCAGCCTCCTTTATTAATCGCACACGTTGGGAAAATTATTAAAGCAAAACACAAAAACAAAGACAACCTTAACTATATGAACACTTAAACTGAATTTAAACTAAAAGCTGAAAATTTAACACAAGTCTACACAAGAACACAAGAATCAACCCGCAGGAGAAGTTCCCGACCGACCACTTCAGAACCGAAACAGTAACTAAATTTTTTGACAAAATTTTGAAGCCAAGTCGTACCTTCCTGATTAGAGGGGGTACTTCTTAGCCAACCACCTCCGTTCGGGGGCGGTTTCGCGCCGTGGGCTTTTCCCACAGCTTTGACCTAGAGATGTGTCGTTCGCGAACGAACGAATCAAATTGAACGGGTCGTTCGAATGAACGAGTGACCGAAATCGTTCCCAACGCAAACTGGTCGTTCTTTCGTTCATTTCGTTCACTCGTTCACTCGTTCACCGTTCACATTGTCTCGACTGGATCTTGATTCCGTTGGATCTTTGAATCATGGCTCCAGCACAGTTCTATGTTCTGTATCAAATACTAGGAGCACATGCTATGCTATTTATGGAATTAACTAAGAACATAAGTTTTCCCGACAGATTAATTCCAGTAGTATGAATTTAAATTAGGAACCAGGAACGAAAATGACAATTTATGACGATAACTAATATACAATGTTCATAAACGTCTGAACATTAGAAACTAAAAAAATAAATGTAAATAAATAATTATTATTACTATTGTAATGATTATTAATAAAAAAAATCCCTATGGCCACGTAAAAAAGGTAATGTATAATATAATCAATGAACGTGACTATTCACGGCTTCATCACATTAGAACGTAAGGAAAAGGTATAAAAGGAAACAAAACAAATCTGCTCCTACATTGTTAATCGTAAGGGCGACGACCGAATGATTCGAAAGATCCAATAAATTATTTTTTTTTACTCAAAAGTTGCTTGGAAGCTGTGATAAAAACGAATTTAATTTTTGTGTCAAAAGTGCTAGTGATGTATTTATTAACACAATTATTTGCGTTCACAAATTCAAGTTACTTTTTTTAAATATTAAATTATTATTTTTACATCACAGAATTCAGAAAAAAATCGTTACATGAATCTCTAAAAAAATGGGAGGCATTAAAAAAAATTAAATGTAGACAAAACCAAATAAACGTTAAATCATTAATTTTTCGAATCAGATCATAGTATATTTCACACGATTTAATTTGACGTATCACACAATGCAGTATTCGAAAAATAAGACAGCAATGGGCCGGGGTTTTTTTTTTCGAATACCTATGCGATAGTTCTGAGCATGACTTTCCCTATAAAGTGATCGGATTCAAGCAAAAGGGGAACTAATTTGACCATTGACCGAAGAGCCGAAAGACCGAATGATTCATCAATAGATCCCTGAGCCTTGAATGATTAAGAACGAAGTGAACGGTGAACGAAATGAACGAAATGAACGAAATGAACGAAATGAACGACATTTGACGACCGGGTCTTCGTAGGGACTGAACGATGAACGATCCGTTCGTACTGATGACCGAATCTGCCCATCCCTAACTTTGACCTAAAAAGCGAGCAAGGACTTTGAGCGGGTGGTCTGTCGGCAAATTCGTCCAATTCATAGAAATATCCTTCCCGTACAATCGGCTTACAACAACAAACACAAGTTACAGATGTACTCTTCGCCCATTGTAAACGGTGAGAATTTCCTATCTCGAACCCTAATAAAAATTATCCCACTTCGGAATTTGCTGGCCGATTTCTTCGGCCCATGCTCGAGGCGGCAATGCAAAACAGCCTCTACAAATCCGGAAGCGAGACAATCTGTCCGGCCGAAACTAAAGCTCTTTTCTCAAAAAACCCTATTACTATACACAATTATCAAATCTACAATTAAGGAAAATCATCTATCTCTACGAATAAGTTCCGCGTCAAAGACTGACATATCTGGTGCTTAATGGCTTCGATCAAGAACGTTTCAATTTTACAACTCTAGACGATGGGATTCCACGTTATTGCTAGGGCCCATTGTATAGAGTGCATCAAACCGAAAACGTGCCCGGTCTATGGGGATTTTTGGGAACTTGGGTACGGATGGATATTGCGGGGTAATTTCGGAATTTTGGGTAGTAAGATTGGACGGAGTAATAAACCATTATTCAACAGAAATGACATCTTCGTTTTCTGGAAAAGTTCCCATCAGAAAAATGCGTCGGTTGCCTGTAATAAACGCGATGGTTTGCAAGTGTTACACAATTTAAAACCCATTTACTATGTACAATTTTGAAGTGACGTCATCACATTATTGGTGGGATTATCAGACAAATTTTGGTTATCGTTTTACCATCTACATGATATTTCTAATATAAATACAAAATTTGACAACAATCGGCCCAGTACTTTCGGAGATTATCAGTCTAATAAAAGTCCGTGACGGCAGACAGATGGACAGACGGAAACGGGAGACCTATTTCTTCATACTATAGGGGTCATGAAAGGTTGAGAAAACGCAAAAGTAGAGAGTCGGTCGACGGAGTCCATTACAATACTTCCTTCACTTACACTCGGAAAGTAAAAACGTTCAATGTCAAGCTATATAGCCTAGCCTGTGTATAACTAGTTGCCTATTAATAACATTGATAATTTGAGTAATAAAATTTTAAAAGAAGCTAATTTTACTTGATCCAAAAAAATTTAAATGACTTTTACTTGAAACTTTTCCCACTTATTTTAACTTCCTGTTATCGATTTATTTATTTTATTAAAGAACACTTGTAGAATGATATAACGAAATAATTGTCAATCAACAACACAATCCCTCACCAACTGTGAAACTTTTAGTGTTGTATGTAAAGGATTAATACTAGTACAGTTTTTTAGTCGTCATGAAAACATTTAATATTAACAATAAAAATTAAGTTCTTTAAGTTATTTGGCGCTGCTACGAATACACCGGATATAAAAAGTGATGTTGTTATTGTATCAATAAAGTTTATTATCTGGTTATCATTAAAATATGAAACATTAAATAAAATAGATATTTACAATAAGAGTTGCTTTACTACAATAATGAAAAACTACCATTTATCCACAGTTTAATACTGCCGACTAAAATACTCTTACGGCAAAATATACAGACCTAAGTACAATTTCCACTGCCTATTGCTAAAGTTATTTTTAAATTTCGAGATGATGATAAAAGTATACATAATATTTAAGTTCTTCGCACCAAATATCTACGAGTACAGAAATTTGATGAAAATTACAACACTAATAAATAATTTATGATCACATAAATGTTTTAGATGGCTTTTTGATTACCTAACCTAAGTAATTATAAAATGCAATTATGTTCTTATCACACTAGTTTTATATCACAAGTCGATTAACAATAATAATAACCCACATTTAAATCAGGTAAAGATAATTGGCAAATCAAAAAAGCAAACAAAAGTCAATTTACTGTAATTTATGTAATGTCTATACAGCCCCTACACGCGTATATAATATTAACACACCAGTTACTAACTACAATTTTCAGGCACTAAAACAAAAACCGCATTTTCCAATTTTAACACTTTTTTTAATCATTATTCTACAACTGCAGGCTTTATTAATTTCTTATAGCATTAATGAAATACCACGGTATTCATTGCATGATTTAAAGTGTACACGAGAGTACCAACAGGATATCAATATGTCGATATGATAAAATAAAAAGTACGCATATTTTCTACTTCTTCTACAACAAACTTTAACACTCATCAAACATACACCTCGCCTCTTTTTGGCGAATTAGTATTCGGATTGCTCTGAGAAACAACCGACGTTTTCCTGCTCCTGGTTCCGTCAGCTGAAGAAGTTAAGGAATTAGGTGCTGCACCTTCCGCAGCCGTACCAGCTGAAAGAGTAGCCGCAGAATTCTTGCTTTCTTTTGATGCAGTCGATGAAGCAACCGACACATCACTGCTTCTACTAGTCAACTGTATTTCATCCTCTGCAGGAGCAATCTCTGTCAGTACTAGCGGTTGAGTACCCAAAGATTTTTCTCCATCAAAACTAGTGACAAAATTGGGTTTTTTGGTAGATGCATCGTTAGTGCTTCTTGTCAATAACGGACTATTATGAACAGAAGTTAATCCTAGACTTGTAAGTTGAGACACTGTCATCGGAACACTGACAGGAGTAGTGGTTATGACTGGACCTAGCCCAGGAGAAAGAACCGCTTGAGCCAGTGCTGTAGTTCCTGGCTGGTGTGCATGCAGTGTGTTGTTGACCGAACCGGTACCATCTAGTTCTTGAATAGGCGAAAGTACCACCTGCACGACTGGACCATCGCCGCTTGGGTAGTTCGGATAAGCGGTCTGCAGATGAGGCATGAGCGTAATCCCATGGGCCATCTGGTTCTGGAGATTCGCCACGTTGGCAGCAGCCATGCGGTTTTCTCGGTCCACTACTTCCTTTGTTACGTCTGGTGTGGGGATTCTCGGCCGGTTTCTAACTTGCATCGGAGCAGCTCCATTCAATCTTGAACCTGATTTATACATAACATTAAAAGCTAGTAAACTTGAATTTGATCTTCTAGGGACTACAAAAATGTTACCAATGAAAAGTCTAGAAAGTGAATGTTCTTGAATTGTGAACTGGAAATTTACCGAGTTCACGTAACATATAAATACTTTTTTTTAATCGTAGTGACGTTTAACCGTATCAATCTTTCAGAGTAATCAAAGTCAATGGAGCAAAAAATTGGACTTTACCTTGTTTTTTCTGACTTCGTCCAGATTTTCGACCAACTAATCTGTCATAAATTGACATCTTTTGCGGAGGCGCTGTTCCTGGAAGCTGTCCGTTTTCGGGATTTGCGTAAACGGAATTTCCACGATGCCTTCCGAACAACCCCCCTGAAGAATACGCTGTAGAGGCTGACCTTATCGAACCCATACCGGTTCTGGAAATTTGACGCGTGAACCAATTGGAACTTTTCCTCCTTTCAACTATAGGCGTGTCCACGCTTTCCTATAAACATCTCCATCATATTAATGCTTTCATTTTTTTTGCTAACTTACGTAATCTGCGTACATGTCATCATGGATTAGTGATTTCTTTGGTGTCAACAAATTTGCGTACAGTCCGTCGGTTGTTTTCAGCTTATACTGCTCAGCTGAGCCTTTAGGTTCTTCCTTCCTGTAGTGCTCAGAAGCTACAGTGTAAGGGAGTTCTTTCGGTACCACTTCGTCCCAGTACTGATCTTTGAGAAGTTCTGGGTGTTCCTCGTGCATTTCGTCAACGATCATGTAAGCAGCCTGGGAAATGAAAAATTTTCACTTGGTGTTTCTAGAATTGTCGTACGAAGCCTTGACATGCTTTGCCATCAATGAGAACTAATGCGAATAATTATTATTATTTTACTCGACAATTTTTAACTTCGCACCTTCAAAAATTAAGATAAAATTATTTCCAAGAAGTATATTTATTGGACGTATTCAGGGTCGTTGTTTAGATTTAAAAAATATAACTGCACACTTCAGTCAATAGTTGCATTGACAAGTTTTACCACCTTGGATTACTTCCTACATTTTTGAGCGAGTAAGTCCTAGTGGTCGCGTTATATTTCCTTGCAAAATATCCACTTTTCTGGAGGAAACAAATTATATCATCGTCAATTACGTAAAATAAAACAGACGCTCGCACGTTCCGTCCTCTGAAGGTCAATCTTTTAACACGATTATGTGCAAAAAATCAAATTACATGTAAACAAATAGCTATATTGTCGTCCTATGTTAAACTTGACATTGAAAACCGTAAATCACTTTGAGTACGGTTTATATCAAGAGTCTGTCAATTATAGAGTGCGGTTTGCGGTCAGGGCTATTATGGCCACCATCATCAAGTATACCGAATTTCATTAGTTTAAAGCCACCAAATTCACCTGTTCGGAGGTCGATCCTAAACACGGCTTCACAAAAAATGTCCCGTTAGTCTATCAATTCATAAAAAGCTTAGTACGTGCGACTAAAATTGTGCGTGAAATAACCAGAGGTTACTACTCTTACCTTGATATGCCTGTCAATGAGCCAATTCAGTTCAATATCATCGTCATCTTCGCCGAAAGGATTTATCAACACTTCTGCCACTTTTAGCCAACCCACGTAGAAGCAAAACTGCAACAGTTGTATTAATCTAGGTTTTGGCCTTTTCGAATTAAATAACCACCTGAATTGCTGTGAAGAAGGGAAAGTACATGTCTGGTTCCTCGAATTTGCCAACTGACATTGTCGCGTCCGGCACGAATTGTCGACCCAAAAGAGCTGCTATGAAGTATAAGTACAGAGCCAAGGAAACTACCTACAAAGATACAAATTGACACATTTATAACCAGCAGAGAGAAGTACAATGTGTAGTAGGTTGTTGTCGTCAAAGGACATAATGTTAGTGAAGTTTGTGCTAAAGCATGGTCTACATTTTGATAGAGTGTTTGCAGATCTAATTGTCTTAAAAACAGAAAACATAATCATTCATGTTGCGTAGGCAAATGTATGAAAAGAAAACTTTGAGGTTTTCCGTAGAATAGTACCATAATAGAATTGGTCTTTTTATAGCGCTTTTATCGTTTGTTTGGCAAAACGGTGACGCAAGATATCATTAGAAAGTAATGCATCTAAACTGGCTAAATGATGCAAGTTTCTTGCCTATAGTCTTCTCCATAACTCCATTACCGTAACAAAAAAACCTAAGTATACTATAATTGTAAAGAATTATGAGAACCCTATTGAATCGTCAGAAGTTCAAGGTTTTGTACTTTGATCGTTGCTTTGCGTTTAATATGTCTAATTAAACATCCTATTCATTAAAAATTAATACATATACTTAAAATAATTAAACGAGATTGTATGTAAATTTCCTTGAAGCACTTTTCTTATGTAACAGTCTTATCAACAGCTTTTAAATTTTCGGAAATCGGGTAAAAATGAATCATTCATAACACGACTGATTAATTAACCTTCACGGTCCGTAAGATCCATTTTTCTGCTATATGGGGTGATTAAAATAGCAATAACAGTATTATACTATTATTGTTTTTCTGCTTCCACGAATGGAATTTTTTAACGAAAATATCAGCAAGTACTTCGTTCCGCTAGTCGTCTTAAATTGACATTCAATACCGTGTATTTGCTTTTTGACTTATCTTGACTAGTTTTCCCAGAAAGATACACCATAAAAAGACGACAGAACAAGTTTTCAAGATCAACTCGTTCAGTTTAAGTAACTGTACCGATGTAATTAAGGTACCAATGTATCTATGCAATTTTTTTACAGGTGTGTCAGGAACAAAACAAACTGTACATACCAGCCGGAATGTATGAGTTTGCAGTGGTATTTAAAAAATAGCTTTATTAAATCGAAGGTTCGTGTTTCTAATTAATTCTTTGTATTATTCATCTAGGAGAATGCAGTTTCTCAAATTGTGCAAGTTCCGGCTTTTTATTTCCTTAGTTAATGAAAAATTGTATCATGGGTATTGGAGATATTAAAGTGGGGTCAAGATACAGACCGGTTTTCGAAAAGCTGCCGTAATTAATGTCCAGTGTTCACCTTGAGACTACGGCAGTATATAGTAAATTCAATGTGATTTTAAAGATATCAATATCATATTTGTTGACTTTAATTTTCTGAGTGCACCCAAACTGCCTATGGGTGTTTTACAGATTCAACACATAAGTTAAAAGCTGTCTGGTTTAACGCAGTAGTTTGAACGAATAAAATTTATATAACGATCATACTCTTGTTTACTCATTTTCAACTATTATAATTAAGTGATTTTTAATAGTTTTATTTTTATTACTCCCCTTAGGCAGATATAAAACGAACAACAAAACACATTAAAATTAAAATAATTAAAGTGTGACTCTGAAATTTTCTCCTTTGATTTCCGTCACATGAAATATAAAACGTAGCTAAACTAATTTTGACACACTATACCTAATTTATTTCCTGTAAGCTTGAAATTTCTGTTCGATGCAAGATGACAATTAAACCTGCCATTGTTTGCACGCTACATTCTAAATGCGTCTGGAACATCAAAAAAATTAAAGTCTTCCGGTAAAAAAACCGATTCGTGATGGTAAAATTGGCGTCAAGATTCATAATTAGCTTGTACATCAGTGAGCAAAAATTTTACAGTGTCACGTCAAGGTTAACACAAAAATGGATACCCAGATACACAAAACACAAAATTATGCAAATTAATGCTACAGGTGACTTTGGGTGTTAACAGCGAACTAGCTGTCGGCGGAATGGAATGGAAGAAAAGGTAGCAATAAGAGTTTTATGAGAAAAAAGTAAGGATTTTTTGGAAAAACCTCCAAATTTTAATTTTGAAGACAAAAAAAGACAAAAAAAGCTTATTCATGGTAGCAAATTAGCAGTTTTTCATATTTAAATACAACAGTAAAACATTTGGCTACAGTTAAAAATTGGTCGTAAGTTATTTATAGAGAATTTCCCTCACCCTTGAAGTACTGTCGGCTGTACTTGTGGTTTATGAATTTGCCTTGATTTTGTTTGTTATATAATTTTTATCATTCAATATTTCTAGTAATAAAGATTGTTTTTAAAAACATAATACCATACGAAACATGAATACTAAGTCCGTTATCTCTGCATATGCAGGGTCAGGGTCGATTTTCAATATACGCATGTTTTTACTTTACACTGTGACTAGTTCAACTGTACTTTAGCAATCCATATACATATATCTCTACTTTAAATTGTTGTAAGTTATCAAACAAGCAGAAATAATTGTAAATTGTGACAGTCTGTCGTCTCCACTTCCTGTTCTGAGTTTATGGTTTCTTAGATCCGTCTGTGTCAATGCAAAATCGAGTCCTAGAATCAGAATCTACTGTTTTCTTTGATATTTCGATGTGTGAGTGACACACAAAAAAAAATTATGAATAAGGCAATTTATTTTGATGATTAAACCAAGAATGGCTCAATCGATTTTCCAGAAAATTTGAAAAAACAGTACTGTTATTATTAGTATTATACTACACCTATTTAAGTTGATAAACGTGTCCTTGTTGGAATGTTGATGCCGTTATCACAAAATTTTGTAATGGAAAAAGTTCTGTTTAAATAATCTTAGACCAATTTTTTTATTGCTCAAAAAAAGGTAAATGCTAATAATTTTAAACGTAATCAAATTTTTTGGTGAAAATAATAGTATTAATATTTTTCAGCAGTTGCAGTTGATCTTACTTGAACGCTATAATTTATTTACTAGAATTCTCTGGATATCTACAGTTTTTCTTGTAAGAAGGTATCTAAAATCTGGGAAAATGCCAGAAGTTAATAACAAACATTTCTGAATTGATGTAGTTTTAACTAGTTTCTATTTTAGTAATTAATTTTTTGCTAAGAATGAGTTCAAGTTTTGATTAAAAAACGGACCTAAATTTATTTAAATAAAATTTGAATTTTGTAATGTTTATTTACATATTTTTTATGAGAATCTCTATAAGTTAAAATATAGATATGTTTGGGTTGTTAAAGCACAGGTAAAGAGAATATTAAATATATTTAAAGCAGACAACTAACTGGAAAATATATTATCATGTTTAACATCAATTGTTTATGTTTATACATCGAAAGAATGCGACTATTAAGCAAGCATTAAACTGGTTGACCAGAATAGGTGGAAGAATATGAATGATTTTGTCTCCTCAAAACACAGGAGGTGACAAAAAATTATTAATTAAGCTAAAATGGAGTAAAACATTCTGTAAGTAGTTATTATAGAAGGCGGGCGCAACTTGTAAACAAAAAACCGTTCTCCATGAATCAATCGAGCCAGCGACCTTCATGTTAGTAATACACACGGAGGAACTCTTATACTAGTACAAAATGTTATTATGCAATGTGGATTTTGTTTCACGAAAATCTAGATGCTTAGAGGAAAAACTAAGGTGGATTCATAAACGACAAGTACTGGAGTATGTTATTTAGTACAAACAGTTACTATACATAATTTTGAGGTGACGCCATCAAAGTGGTTGACAACAGTAATAGGTCTGGTAGTTTCGGAGGTTATCCGTCTAATAAAAATCGACACAGACAGACGGACGACAGATGACAGACCGATAGACGGATGGACCCTATCACAATAACATAAATAAATAAGAAAATACTCGATGGTTTGAAGCTTTAAAAATTAATCTAACAAAAGAAAATATTGCTGAACACCGTCCTACGCCCAACACTCTTCAAAAAATGTATGGGCAGAAAGATAACGGTAACGATATCAACTAAAAATCATGTGGGACGTTACGATTAAAATAGTTTGGGATGCAGAATGTTAAATATGTTTACTAATAATAACAGTTAAGTTTTAGTCGTAATAAATAAAGGTTGCAAATAATTACTCCAGTATCGCAAATGTAATGTACAAAAAAATTTCTACGACAATATCCATAACGTAACTCAGTACGATAAGCGAAATTATCCCACTGTTGTAAACAAAAATCATAAACGGACATAAAAACCTATTATTATTTTATAGCATTGATCCAAACGACAGCTCTGTTGTTAATAGTATGTTAAGTAACAAGGCATTAAAAATTGTTTTTCCGAGAGAATGGTTTAAAACCCTCGAGGGAACAAAAAACATTTTAATCCCGCGTTAGTTATATCTAGAGAGCGGATTTCTAGGTTTAATGCTTTTTGTGAAAAATGTAAGCACTTCAAAACTTTTTTATATCTGTAACTATGATACAATTTGGAGTCATTTGACACATTTTTTTTTTGCTTATTTGCTTTTTTTTTCAATTTTATGCATATTAAAACTTATATGCTTATTTAATGGTTTTTTCGACGAATATGAGTTTTAATGCATATTTTGTTCAAATGCCGGCCTTGTCGGGATGACAAATACTTGTTAGTTAGCCGTAGCGTATCGTATGCATTTTACCTGGACTTGACCATTGAAGTACACTTACTCAAGACCCTTTCTGTGAATAGGTTCCGGTCGTTTGGGTAATAAAATTTTATTATAGGATTGGAAAAATACTCCATAGATTTTATGACTTTAAATCCTTACTTCCGTTGATAATGAATTAAAGCTTTTAACCAGATGTTCTTTTTCGGTATTTTGCGGCAAGACCGTTGAAGATTTTCAAGAAAAAAGGATTATTGTACCCAACTACCTACCTTAAAATTTTTCTAATGGAAACTTTTAAGTAAATGGACCGTTTATTTCACAACCATCAGTCTATCGCATCTGTCGTAGTACAGTGTTATACGTGGTTCTCCCTTGTTACATGTTGAGTTCTTTTTGGTAATATTACTAATATTTTAAAAGAATGCCGAAAGTAAAATCGACGCCGGATGAGTGGATAAGGGATTTTCCAGAATTAAAATTAGAAAACAACAAAATATTCTGCAGAGCTTGTGTGAAAACCGTAAGCCCACTAATTTTTTTTTATCTATTTTCCTTTGTTAATCCTGTATATGTACGTTGTTTTAGATTCAAAGTGATAAAAAGTATAACGTGACGCAACATGTCAGAACGACTCTTCATGCAGAAAGGAAGAAAATGTTTGAAGTTTCTAAAATTAAACACCAGACAAAAGATGAGCAGTTTCAGTTTAATTTCGATTTATGTAAAATGATGATCCAGTCCAATATACCTTTAAAAAAATTGGAGAAAGGCCCTCTTCAAGAATTCCTTGAAAAACACTGCAATCGACATATTCCGGTTGAAAGTACTCTCCGAAAAAATTATGTAGGCCCAGTGTTTCAGCAAGTTTACAACGAAATTAAACATCGCATTGGAGATAATTATTTATGGTTCGCTGTCGATGAAACAACCGATAGTTGTGGAAGATACGTGGCAAGTTTAATTGTTGGAATCTTAAATAAAAATTTCCCTAGTCGAGGGTATGTAGTAAGTTTGAAAATGTTAGATAAAACAAATGGCAATACGATTACCAGATTTGTAAATGACACTCTTACGTCACTATTTTTGCCAAATGCCGTACCGGCGAATAAAATTTTATTGATGATCTCGGATGCAGCTCGTTATATGGTGAAAGCAGGGAATAATCTAAAAATATTGTACCCCAATTTAATTCACTCTACTTGCATTGCCCACGGTTTAAACAGAGTGGCTGAAGGAATACGTTTGCAGTTTCCTACTGTTAATAAATTAGTGGCAATTGGTAAAAAGATTTTTGTTAAAGCCCCACTAAGAGTGCAACATTTTAAGGAAAAATTTCCAAACATACCATTGCCCCCAGAGCCGATTATAACGAGGTGGGGAACATGGTTACAGGCCACATTTTATTATGACAAATATATCAAAGAATTTGAGGAAGTAGTTACGGAGTTTAGCGGAGATTCTTCTCAATCGATTAAAGATTGCATAAATATTTTGGAAAACAAAGATTTGCGACAAGATCTAGCTTTTCTAAGAAGCAATTATCAATTCGTATGTGAGGTAATAGAAAAGTTAGAAAAACCCAACATGTTGTTGGTAGATGCCATAAACTTAGTGAAAGAATTTAAACAACAAGCAAACGCAGTAAGGGGTGATATTGGTACTAGAGTATCTCAAAAACTTGACAAAGTGTTAAATAAAAATGCAGGTTTCGGTGTTCTTTCCGACGTTGCTCGTGTTTTACAAGGCCAGAAGGTGGAAAATTTGGAGTTAGATTCAACATTAGTTGCAAAATTCAAATTTGCGCCAACAACGAGTGTGGATGTTGAACGCACATTCTCCAATTTTAAACACATTTTAAATGATCAGCGAAAAAATTTTACAGTGGACAACTTGGAACATATTACAATCATAAATTGTTTCAAAGAAAACTGAAATACGTGTGTAAAATATAAAGTCTAGGATTATTGTAATAATATTTTATCCAAAGTTCTAAGAAGTGTTCTTTGATTTGTAATATGACTGTTTTAATGCTTTTTTGTTAAAAATAAAACTTTTTTAATGAAAGTGTTATGCTTATTTAATGTTTTTTTGCTTAAAATAAAACTTTTTTATTGAAAATGTTGTGCTTATTTAGGCGCTTATTCTTAATTTTTTTGTGCTTGTAAATCCGCTCTCTAGTTATATTATTTTTTCCAATATAGACTCATTTAATCTAAATCCAATTTGGAACTACTTTGCTCGTGCTATAGTGAAAAACTGCAAATTTTGTAATAAATTAAAAAACGAAGATTTTATTAAAAACCTGTGAGGTTTTGAAACATATGAAGAAGCAATGAGAAGAAGAAGCACATGAGAGTACGTCTGGAGATTTTTTTATTCCGGAGGATGTCTCAAAAGAAGCCGAAGGGGCATTCAACAATTTGATAGCGGAAAATCGAAATCTATATACGATGAGTAAGTGAAAAGCTCAAGTTTATTTTTGTTAGCAATACACTATCTCATTTGAAGCTTTAAGCTTAAAAAAGTAAAAACAACTGAAAATCTGATGGATCGCTTGAAAGCTGTTTTAGAATTTTCACTTCCATTTCAAGTCATATTGCTATTTACTCCGAAAACATTACCAGCTAACAAAAATAATTAGGGGGTGATTCACCAAGCTCGATAAAATTCGCTAAATATTTGCAGATAGCAGTGCCGAGGGAAACTGAATTGAGCTTACACAAGGCCAATACTTACCGGAAGGTACGGATTTGTACGAACCACCCCCTAAAAATTACGAATTTTTTTTAGCAATAGTAAAGACGTTTTTGGAGGGTCACTGTGACCACACTCGAGTCAGATTTAATTTGGATTGAAACAGAAATTCTACTCTATATCTTACCCCTACATATGTATAAATCAGCAAACTATGGAACCAAACAGGCAGAAAACTAAATTAGTAGAGAATTAAGAACAGTAGACTTGAGACTTTAATAAAAACCATCACCAATTAGTTTACATAAAATAATGTAGGTTTTCCCCGGACGTTGCGTTGTAAGACTAAAGAATAATAGTCAATATTTTCCACTATGTCAAGGTTCAAGTACTACTTGTATTTATTTTCAATTTAAGTAAAATTAATTTGCATATATTCAGTGAAGAGGTCATTTGGTTCGATTTCGCAAATAAGTATTACTCGACAACTGCTAAAAAACAAATGTTAAGAATAGCTTGTGAAGTGGATTCCAAAAATGTTCAAACAACATAAAGTGATTACAGATAAGTGGAAGCGCACTATAATTTTCTTTGCGTAATGGCTAGTTTGAAGCGTCTTCTAATTAGAAAATTATGATTTTAGCAGATATAATTCATTGTCTGTGGTAACCTTACACCAGGGAAGCTCCAGTATTAAACAAAATACTCGTAATTTTAACCGTCATGAAAACCACAACGCGCTTCTAGCTAAACCTATTTTAAGAATTATCCACAAAAAAAGTGCATTCTTGGAAGCACTCGTGGACTCGTTTATATCGCCATAAAAGTGTAATTACCGTCAGCGTCAAATAATACTTATCATTTAAACTATAATGTAAAATTGATGTCCTTTCTTTGTCTGATTAGAATAATTGCACTTTCGAGCGCTCAGCTAACTGTTACTAACCAATTTTAAAAGTTATTATTATTTTTTACGATGACCTTTAAGCCACACTCACCTGTGTATACACCAATGGGACACAAACAGTATCATATCCTATCAAAGAACCCAGTCTTCGTCGTATATCCGAGAGTTCCATCAATATCGTTTGCACCAGTTGATCACTGTTGATCAAGTTCTCCTTTCTGGCTCTAATGATGAGATTTGTGGCCCACACCAAAGGCATCCAGTATTTGGACATTGGCGTTTTCGTATCCATCAACTCAAAAATTTTCTTCTCGCTTTCTAACATCAGACCTAGAAAAAATGTATTTTCCAATGAGTGAAATTTATTTCCTGGAGATGGTCGTTTCCGGGACAGCAACATGGTTTAAGACTGCTGGCGCCACTTGCGAACTGATTGATAATTTAATCGTTATAAATGCTACTTTCCAGTTCCAATTATGTACCGTGTGTATGGGATTCCTCAACAGTCATTACCGGGTGAATGATGTAAATTGCTTTCTATAAATGTCTTGGCGATTTCGAAACGAAGCTATTTTTAGATTATATGAATGTGATCTTGATTTCGTATTGTTCAGACAATGTACATATTTTAATATGGTCTTTATTATTGCGTGGCGTAACGACACCTCCACAAACTTTGTCATTTCGGAGGTGTTCCACGGTTGTTAGGGGTGCTCAGTTTAACACACAAATAAGATTTATAGTTATACACGAAAAGGACCAAGTGTTGAAAAGTTCAAACTGAAATTGTTACTGCATACTCTCATTTTTTTTTAATTTTTTTAAGAATAAGAAAAATTAAGGTTGCTTTTTAGTCATTTTTGGAAGTGAATCCGTATGTCTTCACTGAAACGATACGTTTAAAGCTACGTCACAGAAGTTATTAACAAAATTAATTCTAATTGCCAGTAATTTAGTAAAGTAATATATAAAATAAACACCATAAAAAGCAAAAACTAAAAGCCTTATAAACTGATTTTTAACTGTGGTTTAAATTTTACTTCAATTTATTAACCAATTTCTTTGTCCCTCCTAACTTTACGTTTCTTGTTTTCTTGTTTATTGTTGAAGAAAGGAGAAATGATATTTACATCAAAAATAGTTCTTTTCGGTATTTTATTTGCGTATTCACTCAAAAATTCTATTCCCAATAGAAAAGAAAGCGTTTATGAATGAGTGGTATTTTCGAACTGGACAGAAGGTAAACGGTATGTAGGATTGCTCGATTCAAGGGGTTTGGGATGAATTTCTGGACGAATTTTCCAACAACACCGTCTACTTTGCCCATTTTTACATCTCATTACAACAATGTGTGACAAAATTGGGAGAAATCTCTTCTCTAGAAAGAATGGAGGGAAGTACCAGGTTTAAAGATAAGAGAATTTCAAAAAATATTAGAAATGTTAGACAAGTACTCTAGCAGACCCCATGCATTTGGCCGAGCAAATGAAATTATCGTTTGGATACACCTCGTCGCCTGAGAACTTGTTTGATCTACAGACCAGAGCGCACTCAGGCCAATTTCGTCTCAAAGCAATTTATTTGTAAGCCGACTTTCGTTAGAGCTGATCTGATACACCTCCACTACGAAGAACTAGCCCGTTTCGACTATTAATACATAATGTTCCCGAATGACAAAATTTATATTTTAAACTGTATTATCAAATGGTGGAACGCTTACCAAAATTTGTCACCAACAATGAAATGACGTCATTTCCAAATTTTACAATAGTAGATGTAATTTAAATTTTAAATCCTCCGTTTATGGTTTATGAATCCGTGTTGAGTTTTTACCTTAGACGTCAAGATTTTTGGAAAAAAAAATCAACAACATTTTCCAATTTATAGTTATTGGAAGCATGAATAAGTGTTATTTAAATGTTAAAAAGTAGCAACTTGTAGTTTATATACGCTATTGAGATTTTTCGGCTTTCGATTTCTCGATTTTTCAACTTTAGATGTCTCAATTTGTAAATATTTAAATTTTGGGCTTTTTCACTTTTTTTATTCATCAAATTTTCGATTTCCCGATTTTTTTATTTTTCGATTTCTCAATTATTTTCCGATGTTTCAATGATACAAATTCTCAATTTTTGTCCTCTACAATTTTACGATTTTTAAATACATATTTCGATTTTTCAATTTTTCAAATTTCGACGTTTCTAAGTTTTGAGATTTCCAATTTCTGAAGTAATCATTTTATTATTTTCCCATTTTTCGACTTCCCAAAGTTTCGATTTTTTTCAATTCGTCAATTTTTTGACTTTTCAAGCTTTTGATTTTTCAATTTTTCGAGCTTAGGATTTTTCATCTTTCTTTCTTTAGTTTTTGGTTGTCTCCATTTTACAATTTTTTAATTTCTCAATTTTTATTGATATTTCTTTCAATTTTGGGATTTTTCAATATTTCGACTTTTCGACTTTTCGATTTTTGGACTCTTGGATTTTTTGATTTCTCGATTTTTTACTTTTGGGTTTTTGACTTTTTCATCAAACTTTATATTCAATTTTTCGATGTTTTGATTTTTCAGTTTTTAACATTCCAAGTTTTTAGATTTCTCGAGTTTTCAGTTCTTCTTTATTTCAATTTTTCACTTTTCCGAATTTTTAAATTGCCGATTTTTCAGTTATTTGACTTCTCGATTTACCGAATTCAGATGTTTCTATGTTTTGATTGTTCAATTTCTCGATTCATCAATTTTTAAATTTGTAACTTTTCTTCTCGGCTTTTGACTCCTCAATTTTTGAATCCTCTAATTTTTCGATTTCTCGATGTCTCAGTTTTTTTAATTTTTCGGTGTTTCAGTGGATTTCTCGGTTTTTCGATTCTCTTACTTTTGGGCTTTTCAATTTTCGATTTTCCAGTTTCTCGATATTAAGATTTTCGGTTATCCGATTTTTCAATGTTTCAATTTTTTAAATTCGGTGGTTTTGATTTCTGGATTTTATTTTTTGTTTTTCTGATGTTTGGATTTCTCGATTTTTTAAGTTTATGGTATTTTAATTGTTCAATATTTAAAATTTTTGGTTTTCCCATTTTTTGTCGATGCGACCAAATCTATAAAAAAAAGTTTCGATTTTTCAACTTTGCTTTATTGGTTTTTCGATTTCTATATTTTCGAGTTTATTCATTTCTCAATTTTTGGATATCTCTTTCAGTTTTGGAGTTTCTCAGTACATATTTCGATTCTTCGCTTTCCGATTTTTCGACTTTCGGTTTTTTCGATTTTTTATTTTTTGCATTTTCAGTTTCCTGTTTTTTAAACTTTAGATTTTCGACTGTTTTATATTACGATTTCTCAATTTTTCGACTTTTCGATATTTTAATTATTCAATTTTTTAATTTTCGGTTATTCAATTTTTTGAGATCTCGATTTATGAACATGGAAAAATTGGAACATCGAAAAATTAAAAAATAAATTGGAAAATCGAAAATTTAAAAATTCCGAAAATTGAAAAATTGAAATATAGAAGAACTGAACACTCAAGAAATCAAAAAACCTAAAGGTTTAAAAATTGAAAAGTTAAAATATCGAAAAGTTGAAAAATTGAGAAATTGAAATATAAATCAGTCGAAAAATTGAAAAATACAAAGTTTTAAAAACGAAAAATTGAAAATTCAAAAAGTAGAAACTTGAGAAATCGAAAAATCCAAAACTCAGGAAATCGAAGTCGAAATACTAGATAAACCCAAAACTGAAATTCATAAAATTGAACGAAATAGTCAAAAATTGAAAAATTAAGAAATCGAAAAGTCAAAAAAGCAAAGTGGAAAAATCATTAACTTATAAAATCGAAACTTTGGGAAGTCGAGAAATAGGAAAATAAAAAAAAAATGATTAATTGAGAAATCGGAAAACTGAAAATTCAGAAACGTCAAAATTTGAAAAATTAAAAAATATTGGAGAACTGAAAAATCGAAAAATTTAAAATTTAAAACATTGATAAATTAAAATATCGTAAAATTGAAAAATGGAGAATTTCAAACATCAAAAATCTGAAAAAATAAAAATTCGAAAATTAAAAAAATTGGAAAATCGAAAAATCGAAAAGCCGAAAAGTAAAAAATCGAAAAATCGACAAATCAAAAAATCAAAAGTATGGAAAATGAATAACTACCAAAATTGTGACCAAAAATATGTAAAAATTAATACAAAATAGAACACAATGCTTCTAAAACATAAAAATAAGTGCATGTTCCCAAAAAAAATCTATTGCATGTTTACGGTTCCACTAGTATTGCTAATATTACATTTTGTTAGTATCAAACACAATTAAAAAAAAAAAAACAAGTGAAACATATGAGATGTGATATTATGTTTGTAAATAAAAGCATCTAAATAATAACCATTTCTCGCAAAAATTGTGAACGCTTAGAGTCGACATTGGCCTGAGTGCACTGCGGTCTGTGGATCAAACAAGTTCTCAGACGACCTCATATTTTCGTCTACAGTAGTCGTATCCAGTTCTGTTTAGCTCGTGTCCACAGATCTCACTACAGTTTGAAAGAAACTTCTTAAAATAAGTCATAACAATCTCAGTTTAGTCATTTATGGCAACTTTAACTACTCAGACATTGATCAGATTTACGACGCTGTTCCAGCTAGTTCCAAATCTAGAAGTTTTGTTCGGTCTTAAGTAACTTCAATGTAGAACAATCTCCAAGTGGTAATTCTGGTTATGTTGTGATCAGCACTTCCATTCAAGTCATTCAAAAATTCAACACACTTCTCAAGCTGAGAGAGTTAATTGCTCCAGTCTTAATCAAGAGCTAGCGTCTATTGGTTGGGAACAACAACCTAATTATATAAATTGCTGAACTTTTTCTAACAGCATTAATGACAGGGCTCTGTCATGATACTCAAACTTTTTGGGATCAAAGGCAGTCTGTATCTCGTGACTTTCAAGCTACCTTATTAACACATCTTTCAACTTGAAAGGAGGGAATACGATATTCTTAATCAAAGTAGCTGGAAGCGGGGTTCCACAGGGATCTGCCTTGACTCCCATGTTATTTCTAATATTTGTTTCTGATTTCTCATCATTTCTCATTACAAAATCTGTCTTTTATGCTGACGATTTGAAATTTCATGGGTGATTGTGGGATTGGAGTGATGAAAAATTGAATTCATTTTAGTAATCAGCGTTTTTAAATGAAAACAACACAAAAAAGAACTGTTTTATTTTAAACAATTAATCTAATGTCGACAAAACTCAGCTCTGGTTTCCCTGAATACTCTTTGTAGTTATAAAAACTAGAGAAAACAACTTTGGTTATCTTTAATTTCTGTGAAATGTTCAAACTGTTTCAATTTGTCTTGAGAGAAAAATACATTTGTTTTTTAATAACAAATACCTAAAAATCAAAGGATCATTTTCAGTTTAACTGACACTGATTCTTTTAGATCACTGTTTTGTATTTTGTTATGGTTTACCCGTCAAAACAATAAATCTTATTGTTGTAACTTTATGTGTATTTTTGAATTTAATGGCAATTATTATTATCAGTGTTTCAGTTTTTAGTGGTTTGTCATCTTGGTGCAATTATCACGTACTGTCAATCATGCCAACTAAAACTAACATGGGTGTCAATACAGTGGCAATTACGTATAACATGACGTATAACACCTCACAACAGTGCAGATGTCAGTCATAATTAAAAAAATCAGCTATTTACATTGGCTACTCCTTAATAAGACAGTTTTATTTGAATCTGGTCCCAAAATGGCAAACAGACGGAAACAAATCATCATTCTAATAATAATCATTAAACCGGGTCGTGATTGGTTTTTAATACATCATAATAAATTTGTGTATAAAGAAGCCATCACCACCCGGTATATAATTCCTTACATCCTATAAATAAAAATGTATTCTCCGAAATATAATTTGGTAGTTCTTATAAAGTTCAATTTTTAGAATTGATTATTTTAGAAATGGAAAAACCCATACATTTACATTTTGTTATAAAACTAATCTACATCTTTTACATCTCACAAGTATCCTACGAGAAAAAATACTCATATTATTGTACTGTATTGTACTAACTTTAAATAGATGGTATTTTTCAAACATACAGCCGGTAGTTTAATTGGTATTTATTCTTTTGAATCATTAAAGCAAACATAAATGGACTGGTATGTGGCTCTACAGTACCCTTGAGAAACATGGATTCTGTAAACCTGAACATTCGCTTGTAAATACCGGGTGACCATTAAATTTTTGGATTGTAAATTTTGAATTATTGACAACAATAATAGCATGTCAGTTCACAGTTGTCAATTTTGACCCGTCTAAAAAACCAACGAGAAGATCGCAGTCACTCAATTGGTGCCCAAAATTTCAATTTTACATCATAAAATTTTCAATATGTTGCAACCTGACAAAAAAAACATAAAACTAATAGCTACTCGGTAGTAATAACAACTATGTTTTCTGACATGTAAAGTACCGTTTTTGATATCTGAATTAAATGCTACAACTTTTTAATAAACAACTTCGTTTTGGATTAAACAAGTGACCTAAAAACAAGTTCTCTAGTAACGTAAACACTGCAGAAACATGATCTGGACCGTTCACAAATATACACTTTTTAACGCGTTTGTTATAACAAAGGTTAAAAGAAGTTGTATTTTAACAAACAGATTTTACTTATTTTGCAGATTGGTTTTTGAAAATAATCAAATTAACTGCATTTTCACTGTCACTGTGGGAGTATGGATGGAAGTGGCACGTCGAAAAATAAAAAAACTTCAAAAAGTACTAGGAGTATAAATGTTTTTTGGCAAATTTTATACCATACTTCATGAAATGAGATGAAATGGAAGTCGATTAGTTTCAACAAGACGGTACTACAGCGCATTCGAACATTGAACGCCTGTCAAAAATTGGGAAGAATTAAGGTTGAGAATAACAGACGAAATAACAATATAGAGATAAACAATAATCCAGATATGTTGAGGCATGTAACTGTCGGAATTAAATAACGAGCTTTTTTAAGCTTACAACAAGATTAATTGACTTAGAACCAATTTTCCATGTAACTTCACGCTTATTTTATTAAAAATCTTCATAAAATGTGTCTCTATTTTAACTTTTACATTTGTCATTTTTTGACATTTATATAACCACCAACATGCTAAATTATTTCCAAAGGCGACTCGGTTTAAAATTATGTTGCTAGTCCGATACGTGTGACTTTATAAAAATTTTAGTTGTAGTTATTTTGGTTTATTGCACAGTTTATAACCAACGATTTAGTCAATTTTATCCATGACGGAGTGGTCATGGGCAGAGTTCGTGTCTATGGTATTACACCACAATTAAAACATAAAGTATAACAGGTTTCTTGTTTACACGTGTGGAGTTTTTTTCCATAATTATAATAGTTTTGGAATAGATACCCACATTAATTGACGTAAAACAGAAACAACAATTATATCCAACTGAAAATATATCTTAGATCTTGACATTAATTGATGTACAATTTCATAATTATCTTGTTCCTGCATCATTGTACCTTTTTATTCTGCGATGTTGATAAGTCTTTGTATCGGAACTTAAAATATGTAGTCGTGTATAATATATTCTTCACCTCGCTAACAACCAAAAATAACTACACGAAAAGTTAGATGATTCGAAGCACAAATAGACGTACATTAAGTCCTGTCAACACTATAAAATAATGATGTGTGCACCGGATATTCGTTATTGTTTTTTATGGTTTGAATGGAAAGGAAGCTGTTCAATGTTCTGTGATGAAATGGGAACATCCTGTTTGATTGCCAATAACTTTCTCACCCAACTTTTCATTACCAAACTTCAAACTTCCAGCAATTTTATAAAACATCCTCAGGACTAAAAATTTCGATTTTCTCATAACTAGGTTGTTGCTCTGTAGTAGCTGTTCCATTTAGTGCCTTGTCAACAGTTTTCATCCTTCTAATTAATATTATGTCAACGTTGACGATTCTTATTCAGCAGAGTTCGTTGTAAACATACCTTATACAAACGTACTACACAATACTTGCTCCACATGCCTCATTCATATATTTACGAACATCTTTTTTTTTTAGAAAATGGGGACTAATTCGATATTGGTAAACAACTCATTAAAGTTCTGTCAATATTAATGTTTCTCAACAAAAATCAATGAAATAATTTTAAAATGCATTTACTAATTTATTCAACGCAAACGCATTTTTAATTTGCGAATGATACTGTATAAATGGCACAAACTAATGACCGACCTAGTTTTTAATAAAATATACTTATGCAAATCCAGAGGTCATCACGCAGCCAAAGAGGGTCAAGAAACGTGACTGAAATTGTTCGGACACTTATGTGTTAATACCGACGTGACTTCCCTACACTTCGTAACTTATATTTAGCGGTTTTCAACTTTTCAGCGAACCACGTAATAGTTTTGACTGTTCTAAAAACACATTTAAAAATCTTACCAGAATCCACAACATGCTGCCACGTTGGAAACCTCTTCCTCACCCTCAACGAAACCCTTTGGAGAGTGATTACGTAAGCTAAAACTGCATACCTAACTACGTTTCTTCTCATCAGTCTTTGTCTTTCATCCTGCAACAACGAACAAAGAAATTTGCTTAAGCAAGGCAGTATAGTGAGTGTTGTGTAGAAAATGCCAATAAATAAATCTGTCACGATCGTGGTTTATATGATTCAGTGATGTAACTATAGACATGATCAGTGCAATAGCCTCATGTAAGGTTATTGTTTCTGAAAAATGGGAGTGTAACTATTATTGTATTAACGCTCCGTGAGTGCAAATTTAATTTATTGTTATCAGAGTTTGATTCATTGTTAAAGCATTTGATGGTGTTGCGAGAAATGGAAAACACTGCATGTTGTATCTTCATTATTAAACTCTGATAATTTATTGTATGTGTCACCACTTGTGTATAATTTCGCAATTATCATTTATTATATTAAAAATGTGCTTTATTTTTAAACAACTCTTACAACTTTCTTAAATAATATAAACAAACAACACGCACTATCTATATAATCGCTTTATCGTAAAACTATATATACTAAGATGTCACAAAAAAATCCTTTGGTTTTTATAAGCACAACAACAAAATCAATATCTATTTCAAATAAATTTTGAAGTTGTTGAATATAGTTTGCGCAGTCCATAAATGACTATCAGATCAAACTGGGTTTTTAGGTTTGCCGCCTTTTCGAAATAAATATAATACTAATTTTAGATGGATCCTAGGAAATGATTAATTATAAAATAAATTCAGTTAAAAGATCACCTTTTATGACAGTATCAAGCGACAACATTTAACGTCATTATTAATCGTCGACGAATTTGCTTGACCAATTTTCCCACTCATCATTGTGGTGTTTCAAACAATAATCGAATTGCTGGAATTTCTAGTCATTTTGTGACCAGACAGAAATGATTAAAAATTTCAGGAATTGTACATTAAAATTTTGGTGACAGGTGTACCAGATAATGATTAAAAATTTGTGTAGTAATTTACACAGAAGTGACCTTGCGGTTGAAGCACAACGAATGCCGTTGCACATTGGGTTGTATTTTATAATAAAGTTGATTCAACAATTTTTTGAAATGACGTCATCGACCTCTTGGTAATATGTTGCTTTGATCATAAGGTTATCCTATTATCAGGTCATTAGCCAAACCATTGCTCGAAAAATAAATAAAATAATTCGGTTCTTTAACCAAGTTTACTTTCCGAGCGTAAGGAAAAGAAGTACTGTAATAGAGTCCATCCGAGGACTGGGTACACTATGTTTTATCGACGTTCCATGACCCTTAGCTTACTAAAAAATGGGTCCTCATTACCGTCTGTAAATTTTATATGTATGTTAATGTCAGTAATATTGTCTAGATGATAAAACCCTAGCTAAATTTTGTCCGATCATCCCCACTCACACTGTAATGACTTCACCTTAAAGTTTTGTTTAGTACACACCATTTCAATTTTATGAAATTATGAACTCCTGTACTTTATTCTTTCTTTCTTTTTTGTTTAAACCTTCTTATAGTCACAGACCTGTGGCGGGGTGTTCTGTTTTGCAGATAAAAATCCGGGGCTCGATCCCTGGCGGCATTTCCAATTTTTTTTTGTAAACAGTAGTAATAAATTTGTGCTGAAGTGTTTCTCGGAACATTTTCCAGTGGAAAAACTCACTACAAACATAGGTATAGTCTTGAGTTTGCATTTCATATTTTTGGAGCAATTATTTGGCCGTTCGACCGATTTTCCAAAAATTCGTGTTATCCTAATTGAAGAAATTTATTAATTTCCCCAACAGTTTCAGTGTGCAACACTGCTATTACTCTATCGTGTTTCGCAACCGAAGGTAGTGGCGGAGTGTGGGTGATTAAACGACGATACATTAATTAATGATTTCAAAAAAGCAAGCTCTACAAGAATCTCTGAAAAATGCAGCAATTATATTTTTACTTCCAAAGCGTAAGCAATTTTATTAAAATGTCCATCAGAATAATCCAGTATACGCGATTTTAAAAAACTGTTAGTTGTTAATTCAACTCCAACAATATCTTTTTTAATGACGTTAGAAACCTGATAGGGAGGATAAATATATGAACTATATAATTAGTAATCACTAAATCAGTGTTAATATTCTTCTAAAATTTCGAAAAATATACTTATAATGTATGTACTAAACTGCACAATCACTATGAGTAAAATTACAAATAGAGCTGCATTGTTAAGTGACACGTAAGGAGATATTTGTTATGACAATTACTTAAGGATATTTTAGAGTTACATAATACATTTTTTGCAGGCCTATAGATAAATTTGTTTCCATAAAATATAAATAAAATTTCAAAATAATCGGTCAGGTAATTTCGAAAATTATCTCTCTATCTAAAATAAAAACAAAGCCCAAAGGACAAATGAAAACGGAAAACTAAGTAGCATTGCCAAATATTTTCTTCAAATCCTTGCTTTACATTATTCAGAAATCTTTAAAATTAAACTATAAATTTGTGTTAGAAATTATTACTTAAAAACTAACACTGGACATACGATCTTAAATGCCAGGTAGAGAGTACTTGTTCCTTTTTTTTTTGAAAAATTTAAAACAATCTTGAAGTTCTAGGTATTCCTGTTTGGAAAGAATTTGAAAGTGCTTTAGAGACTCTAGTGTCTTTCCTTAAAATTATTTCATTAAATTTCTTAGAGGATACGTCATTTGCTAAAATCAGTCTTATCTTAGAAGCTACTAGCCCCACCCACCCGCCCTCTCTGTTCTTAGAGGGTATCTCATTTGCTGAAATCAGTCTTATCTTAGCAGTTACTAGCCCCGCCTACTCACCCTCTCTTTTCTTAGAAGGTATGTCATTTGCCAAAATCAATTTAAACTTGGCAGGTACTAGCCCCGCCCACCCGCCCTCTCTTTTCTTAGAGGATATCTTATTTGCCAAAACCAGTCTTATCTTAGCAGTTACTAGCCCCGCCCACCCACCCTCTCTTTTCTTAGAAGGTATGTCATTTGCCAAAATCAGTTTAATCTTAGCAGTTACTAGCCCCGCCCACCCACCCTCTCTTTTTTTAGAAGGTATGTCATTTGCCAAAATCAATTTAAACTTAGCAGGTACTAGCCCCGCCCACCCGGCCTCTCTTTTCTTAGAGGATATCTTATTTACCAAAATCACTCTTATTTTAGCAGGAACCAACCCCGTCCACCCGCCCTCTATTTTCTTAGGGGGATTTCATTTGCCAAAATCAGTCTTATCTTTGTAGGAACTAGCACCGCCCACCCACCCTCTCTTGTCTTAGAAAGTATGTCATTTGCCAAAATCAGTTTAATCTTAGCAGGTACTAGCCCCGCCCACCCGCCCTCTCTTTTCTTAGAGGATATCTTATTTGCCAAAATCAGTCTTATCTTAGCAGATACTAGCCCCGCCCACCCACCCTCTCTTTTCTTAGAGGGTATGTCATTTGCCTAAATCAGTTTTATCTTAGCAAGTGCTGATGACTAACTTTTTATAAAAAATTATCAAAATTTAGAAATATTACCAGCTTACTTACATGCACAAGGCAGGAATTTTGAATATCTTCTCTAGTGTTTAGTTGGTTATGCTTTAATGGATTTTTCTTTTGTTGGTTTTGTTTTTGTTTGTAATTTATAAACGTCTTATTAATGTTTTTTTTTTGTTTATTTATTAATGAAAAATAACATCTTGTTTTACTCCCAAAACCCCCGTAGATAACGTACTGAAGAGTTAATCCGCCATTTTACAGACACCGGGTATACACTAAAATTGTTTTTGTTGAAAAACTGTATCAGTTACGACACAAAGATAGACTACAGGTCGCAGACGACAGACGACCGAGATACAGACGGAAACGGGAGACCTATTGTTTCATTGTTTATTGATTCAGGTATCAAACATGAAAGTAGCCATTCGCCGGATGGACGCTATTGCAATATTTCCTTGGTTTATTCTCGAGAAGTAAAAATTAAACATCAGATCACGATGATGTTATTTATATGGTGATTAAGATTCTGTTTCACCAATGACAGTTTTGTTCCACCGTTTGACATCGAAATTAAATGATAGTATATGGTTCAAAGTTAAAGTAAAGATGGCTAACTATTGTCTATTAATACGACAAAAGTATGTATCATACTCATATATTCGAAAGCATTCTGATCACAGATATCGGGTGTTCAATTAAAAAAGTATGTCTACAATTAACCTAAAATTTAATCGATGACAACTCACAACTGACACCGTGGAGATGACAATTATATAAGTACAGTATGGATTAGTAAAACACATGCGTTATTCGCTACGTTTTCTTCCATCAAGAAAGCAACTCTAAATTGATGACTTTTTCAAGTGAACACCCGTTATATGTTATTAGTTTGTAACGCTTTGCATTTTGCATTTGCCATTAATCTGGACGTAAAAATAATCTGCCTCTAAATTAACTAGATTTGGATATCAATCTACCAACTCTTGAGTTTATATTAACATTAAGTGTAACATTTAGTTGGTCTCTGTAATGTTCGTTAAGTTACCTTTTATATAACAAATAAAAATATTTTTCAGTTAGCGACATACAACTAAAAAATCAGAACGATTGTAATAAAAAAAATTAAATCGTTATTGGTTGCCTTGTAAGACATGTTCTTTGTCGTAAATTAAGTATATCAAATCTAAAATGAAAACTCGCAACAGACTTTTTTCTGTTGTTATTTATTACTCAATGAAATGCTAGAAAAAGTAGCTAACACCAGTGGCGCACCTGGTAAAATAATAATGCGATATTTTTAGACTATTACAAAATTAGATAATAATGACAAAGTTGTAATTTTGTTTATAACATAGTGTAATTTTGATCAATATACGATTTGATTTGTGTTTCTGTAAAAGTTTAACCAATATGTTAAACATTTATTAGTTAAGTTTCATAATTAACATACCCAACGCTCTTCTGACCCCCAGCAGTTTTTCTGGGTGCGTCACTGGCTAAAACACATTATTATTTATCATACTATTTACAATAATAATGACGAAGATGATGATGATGAAGACGCTAATAATAATTTTGTGCTAATAAAACTTTTACAACCTCAACCAGAAGATAATCTAATGCAAAAAAAAACATTTATTTAATCTTGGGTTAGCCAGAAAGTTAGTACAGTTACAAAATTAAATTAAATTAAATTGTTTCTTACTTCGGTGGATTGCCCAAAATTACTTCCAAGTTAGGAAATATTCGATAAAATACCGGGTGGCCATTAATCATTCACAACAATTTTGAAAAGCTTGCCATCCGCGTTTACCATGTACAAAAATGCTGAAAGACAATTTTAAATTCGAACTGGCCACAAAGATCGCGTTGTGTGCCTAAACTTTGCATTTTAATAATATCGAATATTAAAAAAGTTGAAAAAGAGCATAGCGCTATATACAAAAAATATAATTTTATAGCTCACTTTACGACGTCCCTGTTTACAAATATATTAATAAATACTACAATATAATGTTTTTGAACAAAGTTTCCACAAGATTAAAACCAACAACAGAAGCAGAACTTAAGTTTTTCTTAATAATATATCAAGGCAATTATGTACTGATCATACATAATAAGTATAAGGAAAACAATAACTATAGCAGTTAAGTTATGCTAAATCAAGTAGACAAAAATTCTTGATAACAATTAATGGTGACGTTAGATCGATCTATTTTGGAAAAAATTTAAAAATTTCAAATTGAAAAACTTACAGTTGTAGACGCACGTTTCATTTCCTGAGATCCATATTTCTAAAAATTGAACTCAAAGTTACTTATTATGCTCCAACTTAATGAGTTTTTTGGATGATTCGCTACATTTAACCCTTGTACTTCTATTATTATATCAGTATCAAGGAAAAATTGCGAAATGTGATATGCAATGTACTAGAGAATTTGAGATGAGGCGAGTGATTAAGTGCTTAAATGAACACAAAAGCAAAGCTTATTCATTACTATTACTTCTCTTTGATGCTAATGTCATAATTGAAGTTTATTTTAAACCTTGAAATTAAAAATAAAGCTAGGATAATCGAACCCTAGGCACAAACCATCAATAAAGCAACTGTCATGATATGAAGATGTTCAGCATTATTTAAAATTCATCTGTGTACGTTTGTTGCAACATTGCATAAAAACAATTTATTATGTGTGTCAAAACGAATAAATTACGAACGAAAAACTTCCAAGAATTCTTGTCGACAACAGTCTTAGCAATAGCTCCAATTTTGAAAAATTTGTAGATGTGGAAACTAGGAATTTTTTCAGTTAAAATAAGCAAATTATAAATAAAATCTATTAAAAATGTAACTTTTGCTTGTATCGTACTTAACTAAATTTCTCTCGTGAAAAATGCATGCTCCAATAATGTCGTATAAATAAAAACAAAAATTCTATTTATTTTGTCTATAACTTAATGCAGCGTTAAGTTTAATTGCTTGAATTATATACGATGAAGATTTTTTTTTCATTTAGCAGATTATTATATGACTTAAAAAACAGAGATTTTGTTAACAAAAAAAAATATGGGTGGATTAATATAGCAAAATTTTGAGATGACGCCATTAAATTGTTGGCGGGAATGAACAAACTAATTTTTAGATGAAAATATGGATTTCAGGGTGTTTTCTAAACAAATTAATTATTACAATCAAATTTGGAACATTTTTGTTAGTCAGTGAAAATTTAAAAAACTTGAAAAATCCAAGTAAAATTCCGCCGTTAACTATAATAATTGAAAATATGTGCATAATAAAATAAAGCTGAAATAATGTGGTAAAAATATCAATAATATAGGGGGATCCCGATTTTGCAATAAATCAACCATTTCTCAAAGATATTTAAAAAGTGGATTTTCCTTGTTACGAATATGATTAATTGTTTTGTGGAAGCTAGTTTCTCATATTATAATTTATGTGTGAATAATCTTGTTATTAGAATGATATCCAGATGCTGATTAACTAATGAAAAAACATTGAATCATACGTACTTACCGCACCTGGAATGCCCGCATTCAAAAACAGAGCAAGAGTATCAGGCCACGGCAACAGTCTGTATTGTTCCCACCACCTCTTCACTACCAATGTTACATAAAACCCTAACACAAATGACATTGGTATCGTCTCACTTTGTTGACTAAAATACGTTCGTATTTTTTCGAATATCCTGGAAAGAAATAAATAAAAAAATTATGAGTCAGTGTTCATCCACTTGTAAAGAGATATTACCACAGTAATTTGAGCGAAAAAGCTTACCTTTGTTGGTGTTCATTTAATCCGAATCTATATAAGAAGTTTATTGAATAAAATAGGAATAAATATGCTACGAGTTCCCTCCAGACTAATTTGTACACACTTCCCCGCCATCTGAAACAAAAAGAAACACCATTGGTATGACACTTGTACTATCTCTTAAAAAAAAAATGAATGTACTAATTAAGGTTTTAAGTTCATTGCACACGTCTAGAACGTCTAGACAATAATGGTATTCATCGCAGCTAAGTGTAGCTTTTGGATTTTAATTTAAAAATTTCAAGAGAAAGTCTAGGTAAAGGCGTCTAGAGTTTCTAGACAAAGAATGTGTGAACTATGGCTACTGAAAACCGTTGATCTAAATCCGAATCAGGACTTAACTCTGGCGTTTTTTCGTTTTCTTTTCCGTAAAAGTTTCACTGAACTGTCACTGGCTAGACACTAGACGGCACGTGCAGCTTTTATTTCTGTGGTCATGCATTAGTGAAGGCTATTTGTTCTCATTAGCATATGAGCAAATTTAGGTGCTTTCAATGTAAGGTGAAATTCAAGAATTTTTGAAATTGAGTGTAAGTCGCTTTTCTGTACACTATTGAGAGGTCTGATCACGTAATAAGGATTTGCAACCTTTTTTATATTGTACAGGAAAAATATTTTAAGTCTGCCGAAAACGACACACAGCATAACAAATGGTGAGTAATGTAGCGTAACGTCAAGCAATGCACAATCGTAATAATTTATTTTATTTGACAGTCGGCGGAAATAGTTAATAATAATATAGCTTCTTACAATAAAAAATTCTAGACGTCATATTAAAAGGTTTAAAAAATTAATTAAATATCTCGAAAAACATACGCCCTCAGTTGCAAGTTTTTGAAACAGATAAAAAGCTGTACAAAAAGTTATCATCTTTCGACCGTCACTAGTCAACGCTACTACTGAAATGCAGTGACCACGTGTCGTATTCGTGATTCAGAGAGTGTTAACAAAGTAAAGATGGACAAACAAAATCCAAAATCTTTTCCATCGGAAAAAGAGAACGAACCCTCCGAAGAACTAAGTGAAAAATATGCTGCAGGACCACAAAATCCACTTCAAAACGTTTGCAATAAAATACTGCAACCAATAAATCGAGCTTCCAGAAGTATTAGAGGTCGTAAATTAACTTGCAAAGTTCTTAGTGTGAAAAAAAGTGAAGTGAACACTGTGCGTTCGACGGTAGAAACCAGAACACAATATTCCTTGGAGTCAAGAAATATTACAGAACATTCACAGAGTGATGAAGTTGTTAACAATGAAGATAAAGTGTTTGTGGAAGGTGAGAAACATCATCTCAAAGATTTGTCAGAAAGTATGGATGTTGAGGATTGTGAGGTAGAGACAAAAATTGCCAAACCATTGCAAGTACTAAGAATTACTCCTTCCTGTAGTAAAAACAAGGAAGTCAGAAAACCACAACGGAAAATAACATTTACTGAAAACCTTGAAAGCAGACCTAAAATTTGTAGTAAGTGATGAAACAAACATTTCTTGACAAAAATAAAAATCAAATCTAATTATTTTTTGTATTTTAGCTGAGAAGGATATTTACCAAGATTGTCTTTATGATGATGCCTATTTTGAGGTAGCACACGCAATTTTTTTTACCTGTTCATTCAAATTCTATGATTTTTGTAGGAAAATTATAACTACATGCGCGAGAGGGAGCAGTGTTTTATCTGTCGAAAGGATGTTTTAAAGGGAGTATCCGATGTTAACTATAGAATGATTGTTATCAACTGGTTAATCTATGCGCAAGTAGGAGCAGCAAAATTTGTTAATTATTTACTCTTACTATTTTTTTCAGCGAGCTCTAGGATTAACAGAATCTACATTTTTCATTGGAATACGTATGTTTGACTGCGTGCTATGTTCCGCATATATTCATCCCAGCAAGTATACTTTACTGGGAGTTACGTGCTTATGGATTGCTAATAAGAATTTTGGTGTTCGTCGTTGCATAAAGGTGCAAATCAATAATAACGCCTATAATTTTCTACACACTTTTGCAGATCCCCACATTAGTTTTTTTGTCTCATGGAAAATTCACTCGCCCACAAATTCTTTCCATGGAAAAACGAATTCTGAGAGTATTACAATTCAACACATATCTTGAGGAGCCGACCTCTTTTTTGTTCTACTATTTACACCGAGAAAAATTACAAAATAATCCAGTAAGTCTTTCTTTAATTGCATAAATTTCGCATAACTTTGTACATTGTTTTTAGAAAGTTCGATTCAGTGCTATGTTTTTGCTGGAAGTGTTTTCTTTGATGTTGGATTTTTCGTCGTCAGCACCATCAATTCTGGCCTGCATATCACTATATTTGGTTCTGACAAAATATAATTTAGACACTAGTTCTATCTTAAATTACGTCAATGGTCGTTCAAGAGATAAAGACATATTTTTACGTAAGGCTAATCAAATGGAAATTTGTGTGCAGAAGTTACTAAGGCAGAAAGCTGTAACTAAGGAAGTCGTCAAGAAATATTCAAGTAAAAGAAAGTGTTTTGTTGCTAGAAAGTTTATTCGTAAATGAGTACCATGTATTTTTGTAAATTTTATCCCTTAGATCATTTTGTGTTGCTGCCTATGTAATTATTCTTAGTTTCATTTATTATGTGCAACTGGTACTGTGTCACGAACTTTTTTTTTTAAGAATGTAATTTTGCGGTTTCATCTTTAATATAATTTTCTATATTTCGCATACATATATGTATAATATAAACACTGAACTTTAGGAAAATTATATGGGTTATTTTTGAAATTACAAAAATAAACTGTTTCTGAGAAAACTGACAATCAGTTCATGCATTGATAATTTTTTGACATTTTCTGTAAGTAGCCGTAAAAATTCAAATCATATTACTAAGACACCTGAATGATCTGACTTCAAAGCATATTTTCGATTAAAATTTATTGAATAATTTTTTAAAAAATACTAAGTATCCTGCCAAAATTTCAAAAAATTTCATTCTATATACTTTTAAAGAAGAAAATTTCCATTTAAAATTTTTATTTTAAGCTGTGGATGCATATTATACTACGGATACAGAAGCACGGCACGATCTAAATTCCAAGGGAACCAATTTACTTGGCAGACTTTTGGTGGGATGAATAGACAAACAGTGCTAAAAACTAGAAGATTTTTGTCAAATCACAAGCAGTATCGTATCTCATGTTAACATTATCAACATTTTAGTGGTGATAAATAAATAAATGTTAATGTTCTCTCCAATAAGTCAGTACTAGCATTTTATCAAAATTTCAAAAAACAAAAAATGCACGGCACTCAACGATGTTTTAATCCTAGGTTCATAATACGTGGTTTCAGATTCTTTAAACACGGGCCGAAGGTGTTCGGACTCATTAGTCACATCTTGAGTGGGTTCGGCAGTTTTCTTGTTCATTAAATACGTCTTGACTAAAAACAATCTGAAATCTAGACTAAAATCTCAACTAGTTGTTGTCTATGACTCAAACATAATAACGTTTATTCAAGAAGTAGGTAGTTTTGCTCAAAATTCAAAAAGTATTAGTCTATCCACTAAAGATGCTTTATTAAATATGCAAACATTATAAAACGAAAATTGATGGTATGTGGAAAATACACTTATAATGATAGGTAAATAATATTTAATTAGTCACTTTCTCTGTTTTAAGGACACAAACTCAATGAAATTCCTTTTTTTAACACAAACGCTAGTATCTGCCAAGATAAAACTGACTTTGGCAAATCACATACCTTGTAAGAGAAGAGAGGGTGGGTGGGCGGGACTAGTATCTATCAAGATAAAACTGACTTTGGCAAATCACATACCTTCTAAGAGAAGAGAGGGTGGGTGGGCGGGGCTAGTAGCGTCTCTTAGAAGGTGTCTCATTTGCCAAAATCAGTCTTATCTTGGCAGCTACTAGTCCCGCCCACCCACCCTCTCTTTTCTTAGACGGTATCTCACTTGCCAAAATTAGTCTTATCTGGGCAGCTACTAGCCCCGCCCACCCACGCTCTCTTTTCTTGGAAGGTATGTGATTGCCAAAGTCTGTTTTATCTTAGCAAGTACCTACTGATGACTAACTTTTACAAAAAATGATCAAAATTTGGAAGCATGACGAGCTTACTTATATGCATAAGGCAGGAATTTTGAACATCTTGTCTAGTGTTTAGTTGGTTATGCTTTAATGGATTTTTCTTTTATTGGTTTTGTTTTTGTTTGTAATTTTTAAATGTCTTATTAAATGTTTTTTTTGGTTTATTTATTAGTGAAAAATAACAGCTTGAATAATAATGCACAACGATTAATTACTACTGGTTGTTATGGTTACTGTCCTAAAAAAAAATAGGAGGTGGATTTCAGTCACTATCGTATTCACGCATTAGGTACGTGCAATGTTGCCAATTTTACTTTTATAAAATTATGTTTTTTTCGTAATTTATATCATAAAGAATTTTTTTATTATTTTTTTGGGACTCCCGAAACTCCCGTACATAACGTACTGAAGAGTTAATCCGCCATTTTCCAGACACCCGGCATGTTTAAAAGTACAATAAAGCAGCCCATAATAAGTGTATAACATTTATAGAAAACTCGGCTCTGATTAGCCAATTCAAGCAACAGCTGAGGGAAATGTTGAATAACATACAGCAGAATTGCAATTTTAGGTCTAGTTTAACATTAAAATAAAACGCCCGCCCACCCTCTCTTTTGTGATTTTGGCAGATGAGATAGCCTCTAAGAGGAGAGAGGGTGGGTGGGTGGGGCTAGTATCTGCTAAGATAAGACTCATTTTGGTAAATGACATACCGCTGCTCAGTCTGGTCAACCAGCATCTATAACTACGTGCTTAATGGTCGAACTCTTTCGATATATAAACATAAAAAGACCCATCTGTTGATAATATATTTTTTCCAGTTGGTTAAATATTTTTAATATTGTCCGTACCTGTGCGGACCGCGTCCCCTGCGGCACAGGGGTGGCTTTTGTTTTTGAAAAATTATAAAAGAATCTTGGAGTTTCTAGTGTCTTTATTTTTTTAAAACATTTTAAATAATTTTGGAGCCCTCTAATATTTTATT